GTACAATGGAACATTTCATTTCCGGTTCACTTTGTACAATGGAACATTTCATTTCCGGTTCATTTTGTACAATGGAACATTTCATTTCCGATTCACTTTGTACAATGGAACATTTCATTTCCGGTTCATTTTGTACAATGGAACATTTCATTTCCGGTTCACTTTGTACAATGGAACATTTCATTTCTGGCTCATGAAAATCTTCACCCATATTAATTAGATCCGCACCGAAATCGTCGTCAAACATATCTTCCTCAGACTCCATGAATGTTACTCGGGTGTCTGAGTTGGCAGCATTCCGATCTATCTCGCTAACCGCTTGAGATACGCTGAGCAGACTCTTAGGCTTCGTATCTAGACATGCGTCCGAAGTGACACTGTTTTTAGTTGTACACTGACTTCGGTAGGATGCCGTGAAACGATCGAATTCGAAGTTTTCTAATTTTAATGTTCGTTTCATCTTAATGGACGTTTTAACGTCTTTAGTTGCATCGTTGCAGGTGTCATAGTATTTAGAGGACGTCTCTGCAACAGCTTCTACGATCTGAGCGTTCACAGAAGCGCATTCTGACTCATCGGAAGTCTCGTTTAATATGTCCTCGAATGAACCTGGTTCCAAGTTACACGAGACGGATGTATTATCCACTGCTGTCTTTACATCGTTATCTATTTGTTGAGGAAGATCTGCGAACTCCTTAATGAGACCTACGTTATTTTGATTCTCTTTATCTTCCTCCACAACACTGAATCCATCACTTTCGTTCGATTTGCTACTGTCGTCGAGCAAATCCTCGAATTTTGATTCGCCGACGCTGTTATCGACGAAATCATTGTCATCGATATCGTGTATCATATGGACAACCAACGGTTCGTCGAAATCGTTGTTCATATTATCGTAACTACAAGGATCATTTCTATAGTCGAAGTCGTACTCGTTGAAGTCAACATTATTGTCTGTTGTTTGACGAGGGACTTCTTCCAGAGTGGCTAGACAACTGAGTATACTTTTATCAGGTACTGAAAATTCGAAAAAGTTTTCGATAGGAGCAAATTTTGGTAGGTACAAATTGCTTATATCATCAATTTTCTTCATGCTTATATCCTTCTGCGAATTTATCACAGCACACAATGTAAGGAAATCAACCGCAGCAGTGTCACAAGATAAAATCTTGACATCGTTCGATTTTATGGTCTTGGAATATTTGACATTTGGAATATATTTCCTAGTTGGTACTTCAAAATCGTCGTCCACAACATCCACGTGTTTTCTGCTTTGAAAAAAATCCATCAAAGATTTCGTTCCACTGCATTGCGGCTCTGTATTTGGCTCTGAAAAATCAATTTTTATATTAAGTACATTTAGATTGTTGTATTTACGAGTATAAGGTAAATTATTTTACCACCTATTGCTGGTATCTTTTTAAGAGCATTTTTACGTTTGGCCGGTTTTTTCTCTACTATTTTCTTTTGTCTTTTTCCTCTTACGGTCGGGCTACTTGGTTGCACTGTGATATGCATCATCAAACATTCCGGACTTAAGGAGTCAGGGATCATACGCGGATTATCTTGATAAAGATACGAGGAAATGTTACTCTTGTGCAATATCTTATTATTTAAGGAATCTCTTCTAGCGATTGTGGTCTTTAATGTCTGTAATTTTTGCGAACTATTATTTTAGAGACTGTTTCGTACACAAACTGTCTCAGCTAAAGAAAAAATGTTTCAGTACACACTGAGCATATTTTATATATTTTTGAATTTCTACCGTTTAATTACCTCGTGTTCTTTTCCGTCCGTTACGAGAATAACGATGTGGCCGTCGCGTTTTCGGCCGGTTCTTCCCATTCTTTGCACAAGCCGAATAGGAGAATGTTGAGATATGTCAAAACATATTATTAAATCGACTTCTCCAACATCTAATCCTTCTTCACCTGTATTGGAAAAATAGTATTAATAAAAGTAAATCCATTTAGAAGTGTGCTGCAATCCAATTCCTACCTATACATGTAGATATAAGAACATTCACGCGATTATCTCGAAAATCCTCTAAAGCTTTTATTTGTTCCTTTTGTTTTAGTCCTGCTTGACCGACGAACATTTGAGGTCTTATCAATGGTCGGCATTGCAACAGTAAGACATAAACCTCGCTGACGATATCTCTATACTATGCAACACACAAATAAATAAACGTCTACAATTTCTTTTGAAATCTCTTAAGCATTGCGAATTACGAACCTCGACGAAAACAATTGCTCTTGTATTATCTTCTTCGCTTTGATATTTTTTGAAATGGCGTACGAGTAATTCTTTCAATTTTTCAAACTTTGTATGACCGAATATAAGATTTTGAGGAATCTGGAAATTATTTTCATATCACGGTGAACAGTATATTTAACATCAGATATTTTATGCGGATTAATATCTACGAACTTCTGATTCTGGGCATAAAGATTTTGCATCCGGAAATTCACCTAGGTATGTTTCGATATTTTCGAGTAAGTCCAGAAGTTGTACTTCTTGGTTCATCCAAAATTTATCAGAATGACCTACAAATAACAGATGGATAATAATCGTAAAAAGTTAAAAAAAAAGTCGGTTAAATTAAATTTGGCGCATTTTTCATACTTTGATAAAATTTTATAAACGCCCGAAGACCGTCCCTGACCATCACTTCGTATGCGTGATACATGGTCATTAATATATTTATTGTCTTTTGAATTTGTCCATGATTCGTAGGCTTTTTACTCATTTTCTGAAATTCTTTCATCAAGTAAAATATCTAGTGAACACAAAAAAAATCATTTCAACAATATATACAATAGTTATAAATAACATAGAAACACACATGCATATAATGTCATGATTTACCCTTCCTTTAGAGATATTGGCTGTCTGCCCACGAAGCATATTATTCTGAATTAGATATTTAACGTGACGGTCCATAATGAAAATATATTTTTCTTTGAATTCAGTTAATTCATTATTAAGGGGCACCAAAATTATTTCAACTTTCCTTTCATTGATGTATGGAATAATATCAGAAGAAGTTTCGTCTCTTAATTCTATATGAGCTATACACAAGTTTTGTATTACCTATAAAAAGAAAAAAGAAATATAAAATGTCTAAGCAGTTTATAGAAATAATTTATAGTAATGAACATTACCTCATGGACATTATCTAGTTTATTTCCTGGTGTAGCTGAAAGGGCTAATATCCTATAGTTTTTATGTTTCTCATTTAATATTTTAATGCACTGTAGAGAAAATGATTTTTCAGCGTTAATTAAGATGTATGTTAGTACTATTATATGCTTCAGTTAATTAAGAATACCTCACAATAAGAATGTTTCCGCAAAGCTCTATGAGCTTCGTCAATAACTACACATTTTATTAAGTCAGCAGGTGCAATATTCTTTTCGAGATCGTTCTGAAAAACTTGTGGGGTAGCAAATATCACCCTATGTTTAGACCAAGCCAATTTACGTTGCGTTGGTTGGGTCGCTCCCGTAAGTTCAACAGTCTCTGTTTTAGGTATGCCCATTACATTATAGCAAGCAAAAATTTGTTGGGCAACCAAAGGTTTAGTAGGTGCTAAAAATACGACTTTCCCACAAGGATACCATCTCCAAAAATTATACATAATAACAGCACCAATAAATGTTTTTCCCAATCCTGTTAAAAGTCAATAAAAAAAAATTTAGTTACTGATTTGGGAATTATTTTGTTATTTTTCTAGACTTACCAGTTGGTAAACAAACTAAGGTATTGCAGTACAATGAAGCTTTTACTATATTTAATTGATAATCTCTGACAGGATAATTCTCCGGGTATATCCATGTTTTTCCAGCCGACAAGTCGAATCCTTTTGTTTCCGGATCGGTTGAAATTTCGAAATTTTGTGATGGCTCCATATCCAAAACTTTCTCCCCATTTGATTCGATTTATTGGAAAAATCGTAAATTTGAAACTTGTTTACGCATCGAAGTCGCTGCAATGAAAAACACGATTACATATACACAAAAGACGCCACCTAGCGACGATAATATGCTATGTACTAAGCTGAAGCTTGAAGTTTGAGATCCATACAGGCGTCTCGTCTAATGGGACTTTTCGTCCACGGTTCAAGAAGAGTTCACGAAGTTAGGTTTGTTAGTAGGAATCGAGTATTCCGCATACTTCATTCCTACAACAACTGCGTAAAACAATTTGGTGGCAACAATATCATACGGCGCGTACATTCAAACGATGGAAGTAGCATTTACGAAACATAACATCATAGAAATATAATTCTCATTAATACGTGTCAATAAACATTCTTGCGCATATATTACTTTTACAAATCACACGCATAAAGATTTTTATACGTATTATTATGTCTATTAATGGTACTGTTCCAACAAATTATACTCGGAAAAGTTTATAATTTGTGCTAGTGATGCAGAAGGCAATACTATAATTATAATTATAAAGGACTACATTTATAATCCCTTTTTTAAAAAACTACTTGTTACGACTTAAAATGTTTAACGATAATTATTAAAGTGTGGACATTCATGCATTACTTACATTTTCTTAATTTTTTGAATCTTTTTACTATTTTAGATTGCTACTACCCAATTTTATCATAAATGCATAAAATCCGCAGTCTAGTAATTATGAAGACCACAAATTGCTAAGGCATCGCATCCATTAAGGTAATTCAACAAATAATCAGACATAATTAGAGAAATAGTTTTATCGCAATTTGCGCATCATTTTTCTACATTGTTCGTTATATGATTAAAAGTAAAAAATACAAAGTATACGGTTAAATATCAAGCGATAACACACGGGTTATCGGAGCGGATTAAACGACTAAACGTACGAGTATTGGAAAGAATACCTTCTGATTAATTAAAAATTAATTTATTGTACTTAATGATATACAGGAAAGTATGCGACTTGTCGGATCGAGTGATATACGTACAAAACTGTTGATATACGTACACATAATCATCGTTATGCAACTATAGACGTACACAGGTGTTTAATAAAAATAAACTAAAAGCACAAATAAATTGGACTAGATCTCTCTAATTAGGACGTATGATTTGTCGATAAATGACTATTTAATGCAGCTTTGTGGGCAAACTTTTTTAAACAGATTAGACACTCGTGTGTTTTCTCATTAACGTGCACTGATAAATGCTTTTTCAACGCTGCTTTGTCCTTAAAGATTTTCTGGCATGCGCTACATTCGTACGGTCTTTCACCTGCGTGGACTAATATGTGGCTGTTCAACGTTGTCTTTTGGGTGAACGCCTTATGACACACGTAACATTCGTACGGTCTATCGCCGGTGTGGCTTAGCATGTGTTTCCGCAACGAGGATTTCTCCTTGAACGTTTTCTGACAAATGTGGCACGCGTGCCTCTTGTCACCGGTGTGTATTAGCATGTGAGAATTCAGTCTAGTCTTCTCTCTAAAAGCCATCTCGCAGAGCTCGCAGGCGAACGGTTTCTCGCCGGTGTGTATCAAAGTATGTCGGTTCAGATCCGACCTACGAGTGAATATTTTGTCGCATACTTTGCAGTCGTACTGACCACCGGTGTGCAGCAACATGTGGCTGTTGAGATCCGATTTTCGTGCGCAGGCCTTATGACAAATATGACATTCGTGCGGTTTTTCACCGGTGTGCACGAGCATGTGGGAGTTCAGTTTCGCCTTCTCCCGAAAAGTCATTAGGCATTCCTTACATTCGTACGGTCTCTCGCCGGTGTGCACCATCGTATGTCGTATCAATTCCGACTTACGTTTGTACGTTTTTTCGCAAATATTGCACGCATGGGGTTTCTCACCGCTGTGCGCCAGCATGTGATTGTTCAGCGCCGTTTTCTGCGTAAACGATCTGTGGCACATGGTGCATTTAAACTGTTTACTTCCCCCGTGTAACGTCATATGCGTGTGCAATTTCGCCTTTTCGCGGAAGGTCACAAAGCATATGTCGCATTTGTACAGCCTTTCTTCGGCGTGCGTGAGCACGTGCCGGTTCAAACCGAGCTTTTCCTTAAAAATTGCGTGACACACGTCACATTCAAATATTCTATCCTCCGCGTTGATCGACTGGTCGTTCTCAGGATCCGGTCGCTTCATGTACGCCTCCTGCAACGCCTCGGCGTCGTATGGTTTCTCCAGCACATGCATCTGCATGTGACTACGCAAACACCATTTGTAAGCGAATCGTTTCTGACAAACATTGCACTCTAACGGGTTCATTCCAACATGGGTCAACATATGGGCATGCAAACTCGAACTATCTTGGAAATTCTGCTGGCAAACCTCGCACTGGCTGCCGCTGCAGTGCATTCTTAAATGTGTAACCATCGAATCGTTGTTCAAGAACCACTTCTTGCAAATAGAACATTGAATTTTATAGAACTTAGGTTGCTGTCCGTTCGTACAAAACCCAGGATGTTTGTCCGTGTCTTGTGGCTGCGTGAAATTTGCATTTGCCAGACATCTTTGTATAGCCCCGTCTTCTTTGTCACAGAGATTGGCATTAGCGATTTGAGCTGTCCAATTTGGATGACTGCTAGACTCACCATCCAATTCCAATTTTACCTAGAATCAATGCTTTCCATTGAATTTATCGATTCCGGTCGACAAAGTACAGAGATTGCTTGCGGATAAAATGGACATTTACCATTTCATTAGAAAAGTCAACTTCGTTCTGTTCGATAGGTAAAAATACCTTCTCGAATGTACCGGAGCAGATGTCCTCCATGTAGTCGGGATCGAATCTATCACCAGGTTCCTCTTTAAGTACAACGCTTACAATGTTTTCGTCCTTAAAGTAAGGTTTTAAGTTAGAGTCCTCGCAGAAGCATTGTATTGTATGGTGCTGCTGTTTCATAGAAAACCTTTACCATAACCTGACTGTCTATGTTTAATGCATCCATCGGTTCATCTTTCACTTTAACATCTTCCATTTGCTACACTTTGTTCTGAAAGTGAAATCGTTTTATTCGATCGCTCGCATCTTGTTCGCATTAGGAACAAGCTACGCGTGGAATAAAGCGAGGAAATCATATTGCACAAGACTGGCTGGCTCGGTCAATATCATACAGTGCCGTGTGTAACCTTAAATCTGATGACGCGCTGCTCGAGAAGCGAAAGAACGGGAACGCATAAACTTCTCGTATTTACAAAGCGTTTCGTTTCGCGACAATCTACTTATTTCGTTCTTGCGGTCGTGCTAGTCGTCAACGAAACAATCGTTCTGTATTCCATACTTACAACGAGGATCATACATCTCACTCGTTTAGCAAAACGCGCATATTGAGACTTCTTTAATTCTGTCCTTTGTCTCTTCCTGTAATACGTCCTTCCTGTAATCTTCGCTTACACGTTTTGGCCGTGAACGCGTGCGGATTTTTTTTCACAAACGAATTAAATTTGTCTTCCTGTTCGATCGATTTTCTTATGTATGTATCAGAAAACTATACTGGTCTCTCCACTACACATGACAGGCATACGTTACATAAATACCATGCATCTATCTATACGCGATTATACACATTGTATACGTAGGCGCATACGTAAACTCGGTACTTGACCATACCTCTGTGTAATACGTTATACACGGAACTCGATGAGTTGAATGATCGTGATCGATAACGAAACTCCGAGAGAAGCGTATCTTTTATCTGTACAGAAAGATGCAACGTCGGACCCGATGAAAATAAACAAAATTTGTGTATTATTCTCGAGATAATCGATCACTCTACATGAAAAAATAAATAATAATAATCGAGCAATCGTGTTCCACGATTCGAGATCGATCGATAGAGATGTGCATCCGGATAACCGTGTAACCGGAAACCATAATCTCGCTTTTTTCTCTGATACAGACTTTATCGACACCACGATCCGATGATTACACAAAGAAAAAAAATTGAATATCGCGATAGAAATCATTTTTAATAACCGGCTGCCGTTATTGAGGTTGCACAACTAAAGAATTTATGTTTTCATGTCATTTAGGAATACCTCGTTATCGGATACATGTTTCGCGGACTATGGATCTTGATATGGATCTCGAGATAGGATTGTATGTAAATAGCCTCACTCGTAATATTTATATTCATAGCGTACAGTGTAAGGCGTGCAGCTAATTGTACATTCGACTAGGTACTTATCTATCTGTACGGAGATATGTACACACATACGCACACGCGGGAAATCTTGTTATAATTAAAATAAACGATGGACCTTCGATGGAAACGAAACACTTGTAAGGATTCCTCTACCGGGCATCTTCCAGTTTCGTAACGAGCTTTCATTGATCACCTCATGTTCTCATCATTATAGTCTCTTTACTAAATAGAAAACATCGTTTTTTTTTCAAAGGACTCCTTAATAGATTCTACATAATTCCGACATCGCGCGAATTCCTCTCCTACAAACAAACAAAGATATTTATTTTTTTTAAATAACTCCTCAGTGCCTGGTATTATTTATTGATACAAGTATTTTACACGTCTAGCGTCAACGTAAACGATTCTTCTGACAGGCGGCTTGATACGTTCGATGAAGTAATTAGCGTTTCTCTTTTCCAGACGTTCGTGATTATAGCATCGTGAGTAGGAAAGATACGTAGCTGAAGGATAGCTTCATTACCTATAAAATTGCGGGCTAGTAGAACAAGCGAGGAAGAAGAAAATGTAGGAAGAACGAACGTACGCCACCGAACGTGAGAAAGGTGACGGGAAACAGTTTTCCCGCGGTAACGATTAGCGGCTTCTGCGATCTGACCATAACAAGTATCAAACTTTTCGCTTCGTTCGACTTTAAATTCAGCCATCCGCACTCGTAGGTGGCGTCATATATACCTTCGGACTTTGAACGGAACAATCATAATCGTCATCGGCGGAGCCGAATAGATGCGTGAGAACGGACACCGGCCGAACGGAAAACAAACTGTTTACTTACTTGATTCGCTAGCTCTTGCCCGGTAAGAAAATAAAATAACATTTGAACGAGATTGGTGCAAATCGAGAACACCAGATAGGACAGCCGCGTCAGAGAGATCGTGTCACTCTCAGCGAACATCTAAAAAAATTTTAGCTAATTTGCTCCCCAAAATACTTACGGAAATTTACTACTAATTAAATTAATTAAATTTACTATTATTTTATACTATTATATATATATAATATATTATTAAATTAATTAAATTTATATATATATTATAATATATATTATATTAATATAATATATTATATATTATATTAATGGTTATTTATTAATTATTACATTATATTAATTTTTATTATATTATATATATTATTAAATTAATTCAATTTACTATTATTTATTTTATCTATTTACTATATTAATTAAATTTACTTACGGAAATTATGCTCGTCAAATAAGCACAAGTAATTACTCCAAATATTATTATCATCGTAACGAGTATCTGCGAAAAGGTGCTTTCGATCATTTTCACCATCCTGGGCCAAAGAAGATCTAATTATTTCCAACAGAATTTCTCTCAAACGGCTTTCTTTTTCTTTGCCGAAGTACCTGATAACTCGCAAGTGATCCGATACGATCGACGTCATAGTTCGTCTAAAATCTTCGAATTTCTTTTCATTCTCGATCCGAGCTCGAAGATTTTTAGCTTGGCCACATATGTGAAGGAACAGCGTTCCAAAAAACATGTGGATTCCAATATAAGACAATAGGATCAGTGCCATCATGAAAATTTGAATGGTGTAGATTATTTCGTAGTAGGGACTTCGGGAGACGTCGAAGACGTAATAACACGGATACGGGAACATGTCCAACCCGTCTTCCGTGTGTCGCACTTGTATGCCAAATTTTGGCAGAATGGTTATCAGGAATATCGCGATGAACCCGAACGTGAAGCCCAAGATGCTGCCAACTCGTGCAATGTTCGCGTAATAAAACATAATATTCTTTTCCTCGTCCGTCTTGGATTTTTCCCAGTCTATTGCCATCATGTTCAGCACGTTTAGGATCACTTGAGGATGGAAAATAAAAAGAAGCATTCGATTGATTCATTACAATATTAAATATTGTTTGGAAAAAGCACCCCGTCTCCGCGAAAATGAATAGCTTAGAACGGAAACTTCCAGAATGACCGAACACGGTTTACCAGACAATTAACTACCGGCTGAGCCAATATTATCGGAATTTTTAAAATTCAAATGGCAACGTTTTAATATCGTTTACACTGTCCAGTCAATCAGCGAACTTACCACTCCGTTTTCCGTGAATGATAAGAAATTTTGGTACCAAGGAGAGAGCCGCTATGCAGTACGAACCGTCGTCTATGATCGTTTTTAAGTCGTTCTGCTTCAATAACAAAAGCACACTAGGAATTACCACGAAAACGCTAAATGTCAGCACGATCGTCATTACGCAGAGATTGTCCAGCAATTTTCTTTTACCGCAAGACTCTCGAGGCCAAAGGCAAATCAGCCTTAGGCAATTACGACTAATACCGACAGCCCAGTCGTAATCTGATGATAAAAACAATAGACAATTGAATTCTGTTCGACTGGAAATTATTACAAAGACTGAATGAACGATGCGAACCGCACCTGCTTCGTGGATCTGTTTCGAAGTAACCATTTTTAAAACTGAAATAAGTTCTGCCGTCGCTCCCTTTTAGCTATAATTTCCGACGAAACTGTTAAGTACAAGTTGCCAATAGTACTGCGAGAACTTTGAACGCGGCTTGGAAACAACATGGGTAGAAAACCGTTGAATATTTGATCTTACAACATCGTGCGCGGTTGAAATTTTTTTTACATTATCGTCGGATCGTACGATTCCTGCGGCATTGAGTAGCCACGAATAAAAGATAAATGCTGCTAACCGTTTATCCGATTAAACTTTCAAACTGAAGGAGAAAACGTTTACCTTCCCGCGGAATCTGCATATTTAATATCTTCGTAGAACGATTGGTCGAGCTGATCGTGGGCAACCATACTTTTCCCCATTTCGAACAAGATGATCGTAGAAATGCTCTACAATTACTTTTTCCTTTACAATTCCTTCTTGCAAGCCATTTTTCGTAAGTACATAACAAGTGCCATTAGCTTATAATTATTATATTATCATTATATTATTATAATTATTAAAAATTTGTGATGATTAATTTAAATCAAAATACACCCATACTCCTAATCAGCTTGTTTTTGAAAACAATGCCTGCTTAAACAAACAATTGCCGTTTATCCAGTTAGATTAATTTATATCGATTGACACTTTGATCGTCGGCAACAATTTAATAATAATCTCCAGAAATAAGAAATTAGGAAGCAATTTTATTTATAAAACAATAGATTATTTTGAATAACGCGTGAGTAAGCCTCTTTTAAGTATGGCATAGTTATTAGAAATGGCTGATGTGTGACTCGAAGGTTTCACGAATTAATTTTAAGTATTTAATATTTGAAGTAGTACCTTGACAACGCTACCTATAAAGAGCATAACTTCATTCGATAATTAAATAAAAAATCCGATCGTAAGGAATGAAAGTTTGGCTGCTATTTTGATTTCATTCATAACGTTTTGGTGCTTGGAGAATCGTCCGCTGCAACGTCGTCTGCAAGAACAATTCGTTTCGTGTAAAAAGTTCGTGTTACGGATTTATAATATTAATAGTAAAAGCAATGGTAGTCGTTCGTGTAGAATTTTACACGGTACAGTGATCGTAAATTGGTAAATCTTTCCCTCCTCGAAACACGATCGATAATTCGCTTTCTCTCGACACAGTTTTCCGTGCGTTGTGTTCATTGTAGTAATCTCATTGCAGGTGCTAGCTCACGCACATTTAAGTAAATTGTCATGAGCCAAATGCCAGGAAAGATTCGTAAGCTCTCCGCGCGGAGCGCCGGTGTATAAACGGCCTGTCGAAACTGTCGAAAGGCTAAATGTCGTATTTACTTATTTTACCAACGAGATTTTCATATGTTTCGCCACTATCTTCGGTCTGCCGTATTCTTGAATCGGTGTGAGATTACAGGAACAGCTTGAGCCCTGGAAGACATAACCAACGGCCGAAAGAATCCACTTTTAAGGCGGTCGCATCACGTACTGGTAGGCGTTCCTGTCATTTTGCTTCCCTCCGTCTGTATTAATTTCTCGAAATTTTCGACAACAATGCGTAGCCTAGCTTCCTCCCCGGAACGAACTGATCGTATTCGACGTACGTGCAATTCGCGTTCGATATTTTCAAATATGCTTCGAATTTTAAACAGTTGCGGAAAGTGACATATACGATCGAACTTCTTTTTGTTTAAAAGGACCAATTAACGTATTGCTCGCACATTTACAGAAAAGCGTATGAACAATTAAAATGGCATGCTACTTGGTGTATTATTATTTTTTTATTAATCTTATTTACAACAGGAGGGGCGATGTTCGCCAAAAAGAAGAAGAAACCACAGATATCCACTCCCACAAACTTTGAACATCGTGTACATACTGGATTTGACAAGCGGGAGGGAAAGTTTATCGGACTCCCGTTGCAATGGGCCTCTATTGTGGGAAACAATCAAATATTAAAGTCCACCAACCGTCCGTTGCCCTTGGTGGACCCCAGCGAAATAACACCCACAGAAATACTTGACTTGAAGACCATTGTTCGAGGTCACAATGATCTTAAAGCAAGGATATCGTTCAGCGATAAGACCACAGAAAATGGACTACCTAAGACTAGCACAGTCGCTAGATCAAATTCCCTTCGTTCTTCTAGCCCACCAAGACTCAGGCGAGATTACAGGTGATTCTATTTTTGCGTATAGAATATAGTAAATGTTTACATTTCTTTTGTTTACATCTTTGCTTGTATTTCCATAGGCATAATAGTAATCTACCACCTTCTGTACCAGAAGGTCAGGAAGTACCACCTAATGCTAATCAAATACAAGGATACACTAATTTTGGGAAGCAACATAATTATGTTGATAAGCTACGTCAAAATTCACCTAGTGTCACAACTGGACTGAATCCTAATGTACAAAATATGATTCCTAATCTCCAGAATCTTAATCCGAATATGCAATCGTCTCCAAATTTAACTCAAACTGGATTGAACGCTCCAAATTTATCTTTGAACTTCCAAAATTTAAGTCCCATTATAAATCCACAGAACCCCGTGTCAAATCCAAGCACTCCTCAACTGGCAGAACCTGATTTTCATAGACTTAACTCTCAAATAACAATGTCTGGTCAATACAATGGAAGCATTCCAGTAAGCAATTTTTCACTCTGCTCTATACTTGTAGCATGAAATTACAATAATTACAAGTTTAATATTTTCTGACTAGGTGACGAATACAGAGTCATCTGCAAGAGACCAACAGACAGCTCCAAACGTTATTTTACATAAGATACAACCTAAGATTTCACCAGTAGGATCTATAGCTTCTCAACGGCCGCTAAGCCAATTAAGTTCACATAACATCAATAAATATTCGCAAGCGTATAGTATGCAAGACAACTCGTCGATCCTACAATCCCAAATGAAGAAGCCCATCGAGGTGTCTCAATCGATGCATAATCTATCCAAGTCAAACTTGCCGTCCTCCGGAAGTAGTTCGACTCCGGATCAAAATCAAAACATGAAGAGCGCCTTATCTTCGGGTAATTTGGCAGTTGGTTCGAGTTCAAGTGCCTCTACCAAACAAACAGCGGCAGAACAAAGGCTTACGCATGAACAATTTCGGGCAGCTTTGCAGATGGTGGTAAGCAAAAAAGAAAAAAAAATAAGAGCATAAGATTGTGTGGCTGTGAACTCAAACTACAGACACTAAATTTTCTTTTAGGTAAGTCGAGGTGATCCAAGAGAGAATCTGGAGAATTTCCTCAAGATCGGCGAAGGTAGTACTGGAACGGTGTGTATAGCAACAGAAAAGAATACAAACCGGCAAGTGGCGGTGAAGAAGATGGACTTAAGGAAGCAGCAGAGGCGAGAGTTACTTTTCAATGAGGTGGTTATCATGAGAGATTATCACCATCCGAATATTGTCGAAATGTACGATAGTTTCCTGGTGGACGACGAATTGTGGGTCGTGATGGAGTACCTTGAGGGAGGTGCTCTCACAGATATTGTTACGCATTCTCGCATGGATGAAAGCCAGATAGCTACCGTATGCTCCCAGTGCCTTAAACCACTTGCATATCTACACTCTCAAGGTGTCATTCACAGGGATATAAAATCCGACTCTATATTGCTTACGGCTGACGGTAGGGTAAAGTTATCTGATTTCGGATTTTGCGCCCAAGTATCGCAAGAATTACCCAGGCGAAAGTCCCTTGTGGGCACACCATATTGGATGAGCCCTGAAGTTATTTCTAGGTGCAGTACAATTTTAGAATATTTTCTATTTATTTTCCTATTCAATTAGAAATTACGTACGAATATCCTACGTTTCAGGTTACCATACGGTCCCGAGGTAGACATTTGGTCATTAGGTATAATGATCATCGAGATGGTCGACGGTGAACCACCGTTTTTCAACGAACCTCCTTTGCAAGCCATGAGACGTATTAGAGACATGCCTCCGCCGAAGCTAAAAAATTCTCATAAAGTAAGTTGCAAGGTGAATGATGTCCGAGAAAGAGACCCAGTTTTTTATATCATTAGTAGGCGTTGTTGCTCTTCATTTCGACAGGGCCAGAGCAGTACCTAGTACGGGAACCTTTAATTACGCCTGAACTAAGAGGACGATTGGTTAATTCGATTATCATTTACAGGTTAGTCCACGGCTTCAAGGCTTTCTCGAAAGAATGCTTGTCCGTGATCCAGCACAGAGAGCTACGGCAACGGAATTATTGCAACATCCGTTCCTCAGACAAGCTCAAAGTCCAAGCATCTTGATTCCGTTAATGAGGGGTTCCAGGCATACAAATTGTTGACAAGTCGATGATAAGAAGTATGAGTGTGGTAACTGATTTATTAACACAGATGTCGGTCTGCAAGTAACCGTGTCTACGGTCACGCGTTGAATGTTTTGTTATATACTAAACTGTAGAATAATGCTCCGCGAGATTTATTCGCCAGTCTATCGAGCTTCCCCGACGCTATCCTGGTTGTTAAAAAACCTAAGACTTATCTTCATCAGAAGCGAAAAATCTTTGATATGTCTGTCATTTACTGCCGCGGTTTGCTGTTAGGAATGATAAGAGGAGAGCGAGATGCCCATATCGTTAACAGCACAGCTGTACAATATGCAAGTGTCCAAGAACATTCGAGTGGCCTTTGTTAGATAATCTTACATTCCAGTGGGGCCTTACCTTAAAAGTGTTATGTTAAGAATTTACGAATGTCTGTGTTGCCTGTGATGGGCATTGTCGTCATGAAAAGTATTTTTATATCGAGTTATTTAAAAATAATATTGTACCACTAAGTGCCTTCGTAATGAGCACCGTTTCATCTTTCGATTTAAGCGTGTTACTTAAACTTGATAGCAGTTTTACTGTACCTCGTCTGCCTGCCGCCTTATTTTAATTAGCATCACGATAACATCTTCGCAAACGCTGCTATTACGCTTGTACTTAAGGTCACAATCGAATAGTCATATTTAATTCGAAAGCGTGTAACGCGAATTCGAGCACCAAACATAGATGAGAAGGCAGTAATGTGTTGTGTCAACGATCCACCTTTTGTTTTTCTTTTTTTTTTTAAATTAGTGCTTACGTTTAATTTATTTGACTTTTAAAAACAAAAATTGCTGCAAGCATACGAAAGCTCGTTCAACTTCTAGAGACTGATGCATTTGCGGTAATCAAGTATTGCGACGAAGTGATTGATATTACTGAAAGTATTTTAAATTTAACGTTTTTTAACAATTCAATATGTAGAATTATTACTACTGAACAAAAGAGAATGTTAAGTTTGAAAATATGCTAGACACCGAGTACCGTTACAGAATTCTGAGCAGAACTTACGAATTTGGTCTCTTGAGATCCGCATTCAATTATAAGTATCGTACGATAATCTAGCAAAAAATTTCAAGCTACTAATCATTCTTTGTAAGAATGTCTTAGACCGAATCGTAATCGTATAGAATGCCATTTATTTAAATCAGGTAAGACATAAAAAATAAGACGGGTGAAAGCCATCGATGAATTAAGCAATTATGGATATATAAAGTACACTTAACAATAGAATATTTACAAGATGTAGATATTACTAAATACTGTCTCAAAGTTATGTAAATGTTATTACGCATGTAGGAACAGCTGACTAAATATCTCACATTTGTAACAGATAAAAGTATCTCAGTCAGTTGTGTATGAAACAAATAACGTACAAAGAAATTGTTGTATATTCGTTTACACGCAAAGCAATTGCATTGCTGCGCGAGTAAACGCGATGATACAGTAGAATGTCAAACTGAAAAGTAACATGGAAACGTATAATAAGAAAATAGAAAAAATGTTTACTATGAAAATCTCTTGTTTGTTATGTAAATACGGTATTTCATTGAAAATTTGTAAAGGGTTCTGTACGCATCTACTCAAAAGTTTTGGCAAATAGAATAGGATATTATGCTTTTAAAATATGGAAGAAAATAACGAAACATAGGGAGAGAGTACAACTATAAAATGTTGAATGTTTAGCATAATTCAGCATGGCTGTTCAGAATCGCGATTTTCAGTGAGTTACTGTAACTCGTTTGTTAAAATACAAGTTGAATATACATTAAAGAATACAAAGTATACAAAAATGTTTCCATTCCAAAATAATCGCGTGGGAAACAGAAGAAGACTATTATCTAACAGTTACGACATTTGACATGTATGTTATGTATACTGTACAGTAGTACAGAATTTCAACGATGTTTCGTTCTCCTATTGCATATTTAGCCTTGTTATTGACAACAAGCAATGTTTTCATTATTTAACATTCAGATGTCGAATGTATTACAAATTTCTGATTACATTCGAATCACGTTACAGTCACGTTGGAGATCAACCTCGACATTCGTAATAACCATCGCAACATTTACAGAGTGTTTTATTAAACTGCGCGTTTGAATATATATGAGGTGTGAAAGGTTAACTGCTTCAACACTTGCGAGTGGATTATTCGCATCGGAATCAGAAAAATATCGAAGCATCGCAAAAATTTTCGTGGATAGATGAAGATAGACGTAGTACGAATATTAGTTTTTATTTTATTTTCAAATGTGATTAATATTTAAATTAGAAAACATAAAACTTTCAGAACAAGAACTGAATTACAATAATTACGACAGCCTGTACTTCCATTTTACAAAAATGGGGCCGTTGCATAAATGGGGAATGTATCATAAACGTGCACATGAAATTGTAGACATGTAGATGTTTCGAAGTCTGGAAGAACCTAATTCGATTTAAACAATTCTGTAGTCTGCGTTGCGCGAGACGCGGTATTGCCAATTAAAACAAACCGCGATCATATTTTTCCAGTGTACAAAAGCAAAAGCGGTTGCCAAATGTGGGGTTAGTTGCTAAGTAGTTTAACGTGTCGCGCCGAAGCACGCGAAATATTTATACTTCCTGCAAGATGACGTAAGAATTTTCGATATCAGCGAGAATGGAACAATTTGAAAAAAAGAAATACGAAACCGGTAACGACCCGTACGCGCAGGATCAACTGGTTCGTTTCAATTCTCGCGTCTCGAACGGCGCAAACGCAGATACGAATTTCCAGACCACAATTCGGATCAAAAAATACTGCAATACCATTAGCTGATTGGTAAAATACGACGAGCCTCCGTTTGACCGAATCGACCTTCTCATTATGCTCGAGCATCGGCGCCACTGACGTCTCCCGACAATTTAGCAGGTTAACCGGGGGTTTTCTTATTAATCGCATCATGGAAGAAAGAGGAACGTTACGTGGTAACGCTTAAAGAAAAAAAAGGAACATCGTCTCGAATGAAGAAGAAGAAGAAGTAGTAGGCAAGTAGCAGCATCCAGAGGAATTTTTCTTGGCTCGTGTTACGCGATGTTTGCAGAAGCATTCGATGGAATATTAAAGGAAACGCATTCCCAAAGAGTGGCGACCGTTCCGAGTATGCGGCTTCGAAGGTGATAGGAAAAAACCGTGCTGTGCTTGGTGTGTGTAAAACACAGGCGCGCACATATACGAATGCACATCCAGTGCGTTGAATGCGTGCTGCGAAGCTGCATGCCGGTTCGCCTCTGCGTTCCTGCTCGTCTGCACGTATCCGTTCCGAAATGCGTGCACGCATCACACCATAAATTCTTGTAGGCTCGAAACGTAACGAATTCCTGCGTCATATTCGCGAGGAGAAATTACGCGGCCGGTACAGGCAGAAGATGTATAGTTCGAGGAAGGAAATAATTCCATAGATCGATACGCCTTGTGTAATGGATGTGCAATTAACGTTCGGGAAAACCTTAATTATTCACATGCAACAAATAGCAAGCAGAGGCAAGAATGATGAAAAAATGTACGGAATTAAGAAGCAGAAATAGCAAGGCATAAATGTATGTGTACACATCGATTCTCTGGTAGCATTCCCGTGCCAGCCAATAGAAAGCCGGCTACGCGGAGGCTCGACTCGAGTCGACCTCGACTCGTGGCACGTTCGCCTTTCAAGAAAAGCGTGACGAACGAATTTGCATGACTGTTGCGTCATTCTGTATCAACGGCTAACTGTTATTTTTGTGTCTATTCGTGTACGCACGTACCCCACCCACTCGCACACAGCCACACACACACGCACATCCACGCAGCACGCACACACGCAATTATCATTTTCGCCGAAACACGTGAGTATTGCTGCATCCCCCACCATTTCACGCGAGTGAATTGATTTGGAAAAAGCACGCAATCGGACTGTACCTTGCTTCATCTTCTCTGACGCGGCAGTTTTTACAGGTTCCTCTCGGTTTCCTTTCTCTAACTATATGTATACAGGTCTGTGTATGTGTCTTAATAACTCGCTAGGCTTTTACCGGAACGACTGCCGGTTGTTTATTCATGTGTATACGACTGTAAAACGCACGGACACTTAAAAATACATAGATACGAAGACGTCGACGATTTTCAATGCGGCTTTGAACGTTCTGTAGCCAGTGAACTCGGAAACTCGGGCGGAGTTTCGAAATCGAAGTCAACCGTGACTTAGCCGTTGGAACATTCAACGGTTATCCAAGACGAGGTTGATTAATTTTCTTAATTGTTCGCTATTGTACGAGATAAGTACATACTAGGAGCTATATCTATTTCATCGCACCGTGGCCCGATGCTTCACAATTTATTTTTCAGTTACTTTGAACTTAATCATGATCGGGAGATATATGTATAATGATATCGACTGAACGATGAACAGGCATCGTCATCGGACGGGTTAAGCAATCTCTACGTCGATGAGCTTACACGCGAAAATACCGATCGTTGCTGCAATTATGCCGATGCAGCATATCGTCGGCATCGTCTCGTGGATTTTTTTTATTGTAATCGATCGATCGACCGTTTGCGAATTTGATCCAAAGTCCATCATACACCGATGGCATCGATAACACGTTGACGTTCAGAAAATCCCCGATAATATCTCGTTAATACATCTGTCTCTGACATTCTACGAATGGATTTTGATCCGTCAACCGACAACTTTTTCGATACCCGAACACACCCATTCTGATAAAACGACGGTCCGATAACGGCGACGTGATTTATTCCTCATAGAACGCAGGTGGGCGAAACGTAATCGAATCGTTATCTGCAAGAAGAGCGTGAGTGTCGAAAAAATGAAAAAAACGCTAAAAGGTTCGCGAATAAAAGGAACACGCAGTTTTCACTTTTTTTTTTTTTTAAATGTAGACTCTATCGAGTCGAACAAGGTTCCAGGTAACTCCACGCCCTAATTGTCATCGATTCACGATCGATCGCGATAGTCAATTACTGAAATAAATAATATGATAAACAGATCGTTGGAAGATAGTTGACGCGTTTCGCTTGGTTGGTTAACAGGACGAGAGACGGGTAGACGAAATTCGGAGAGAAGGAAGAAGGAAGGAGGAGGAGTACCGGTGGAGAATCCGAAGACAGGGTAGCTCGGGTAGGAATGCGGGGCATCGGGAGGGGGGGAGCGAAGAGGGGGACATTAGATGTGGGCACGGAAAGGTGGAGGGTAAGTGGATAGAGCGCAGAGAAAGAGGGTAGAGAGGAAAGAAGAGGTGTGGCGGTAACCGGCGAGGTCATAAATACACAGAGGCAATGTTGTACCCTTCTACAACCGGATTGGTCGAGCCTCCGGTCGAGCCTCCGATGACGACGTAACGCCAGCCGGACGGCAAGCAAGCCGGGGGATACGATGGTGGGAAAAGGAGGAAACGAGGCGAACGAGACAGCATGTCGGTAACAACGCTGGCGGAACAGAGACGAAACACGGTCGACGGGCGAACAGGGAACAGAGAGGAGAAGAAAGGAGCGACCTTCGAGCATTCGGACCGCGATTACGTGCCCCGTCGCGTGCCTCGACGAGGCTCGCCAGAGTCGAACCGTGCGGAGCCTAAACCGCTCCACGATCATTTATCACCTAAGCTTTTCGATGAAATTTATAGCGGCGTCGCCAGGTTTCATTACGAATGCAAATTTAAATGGACGCGCACGCGCGACCGTCGGCGCGCCAAACCGGGGATTGAATAATCTTTGTAGCCCCGAAGAGATCGCGTGATCTTGTAATCCGTCGATCGACGCGTCGGGACGGAATGCACTTTGCGCTTTGGGATTACTGGCTAAGAATCGTGCATTTTGCCGCGACGTATCGCTCGAACAGAAATTCTTTCGCCGTGGTTCCGTAGGGTATTTCAGACGTCTTGGAAAAACAAGCCACGGTGGATCCTGTTTCGTAGGAGCTAGGAACGTAATCGCGTCTACTATGATCTTTCGTTGCTGGAGATAGAGGGGAGATCTTGATGGATGGAGATCGGGAATGGAGTACGTTCCGAGGAAACGGACTTTCTTTTGCCGGTAATGATCGCGCGAGGCAGCGCGAGTTAGCGTTTCGTTCGAAATCGAGGTTGAACGAAACCTTGCTTCGAAACCGCCTAACGCGACGAGGATTCTGACGCGTCGGGTCCGGCAATACTTGGAATTCTGCTTAGGGAAACGGGAGAAAAGGTTGGCTTATACAAGGGACGGGGGTCGGAGAGGGCGAGGAGGAGAGAAGGGTGTACGAGAAGAAACGTGGATACAGGAAAAAAGGAAAGCTGGTCAGTTTCGTCCCCGTGATTATTTTCCCATCCGTTGGATGGACCACTCCTGCTGGCACAGGGGGCAACGATTGCTCTGCTTCACCCAGAGAGACATACAGCAGTAGTGGAAAGAATGATTGCACTCTCCCCAAACGACCACGCAGTCCTGTTGCCGACCGTAGAAGTCCTTCTTGCTCTCCGCCTGGCACCGCAGACATGCGTCTGAAAATTAAAAACGGATCGGATGGTGAACCGAGGCCGAGTTTCACTTATCCACTAGTTGCCTGCGCGCCAGACAAGTTCGATTCACTATTTGTATCAGCTTTTATTATTTACGCAAGCTCGAAGCTATGCATTTCTTTTATCGATTGCAGCCTGCGCGAGGTTGCCTGCAACCTCTCTCAATCATCCGCGGCCCTGTAATTTTTTTATTCCGGTAAGTTGTACGTAGACAGTAACATTGGAGAATGTAACAGCGACGCGCGTACTAGAAACGTTTCTCGTCAGAATTTCATATCGTTTGCGTATCGTGCAGGCACAAAAAAGAAACAAGATGCACGGATCGGAAGCTTTCGATTCGTCACCGCGACCGCCGTGCCGTTCCAGCGGACACCTATTCTGGACACATTCCTTCAACTTTGTCTAATGGGAACGGATCAGAGCCAGCAACAATCCGCTACAACCGGTTTATCAGACAGAAGAATTCCCTCGGCGATGCACTTAGTCGAATTCCGAATTAGGGTCTGATATCTCCGGGACCCCGAAGAAGCTAGCCCCAGCGATCCTGGTGGAACACCGTGGTAAAATTCCTCTCGCGGACGTGCACCCGGAAGCCTCGAAGCATTCGAATTCCACCGAATTCGAGAGGACAAACAAGACGTTGGGCATTCCATTGAAACCGAGGGGAGAAAGATCGAGACGATCCCGGCAGATGGGAGATATAAAGATTGTTGGAGGACACGGTTTCGATTGACGACGACGACAACGACGACGACGGCGACGCGTAAGAAGAGGAAGACGACAGCCAGAGGCAAAGAAACAATTCGCCCGGATTAATCGACGACGATCGGCGGCGATCTAAGGGGTTGGTTCTATTTGACCCCTACCGGGGGATCGGAGCAAATGTGTCAGCCGTGCCCCCAAGTCTTGAGTGAGCAGGGCATCGGGCCAATTCCGAGGAACGAGACGGCGACATCACGCGACGCGACGATCGAGCGTACGCACGCGCCTCGGTTACTAGCTTGTGTCGGAATCGAGACGAACCCGGCCGCGTTCTAGAGCATTCTTTGCCCGTTGTATCGGTCGCCGTTCGTCGCGTTGCTCGTCCGTTTCCTCGCGGCAAGAGTGCCTCCGATAAACGGAGCCGAGCCGGAATCGTTCGCGTTCCTCGCCGCGCGAGTCCTTCTCTTCCTCTCGCGCGATCCTCCCATTCGTTGCTCCTGAATCGACCCGATGCATACCTCTCTCGCCGGGAAACAGGATTTATCGACGATTCCGCGATTAGAAATAAATTCGAGTAGGATCAATCGCGGTTGATTGCAGTACCGGGAATAATTTATCGGCCGAACGTATCGCGATAATACCACACCAATTTTACGGTCGGCCACTGCGTGCACGCTGATGAAATTGCGATAGCTATCATGTTGCGATAGTTATACTCGTACAGACCATCGACTACCGCCCGGACGACGCTGCAATCGCCCCGATCCCGATATGTTACGCGCGCCGATTTTCGGCCTGGAACAGGCCTGTTTAACGCGAAAGAGCGCCCAGCCTGTTCTCTGCTTGGTTCTACTCGCCTCTGGGAAATATGACTTTCAATCTGCATTGTGCAGCAAAGTCTTGCCCCATCGGAACCGCGGATGTTTGCGCGTCGGAAAAACGTTCTTGGTGTCGTCTGTACGGAATAGATTCCGCATAAAATCTGCAGTCTAATTGTCGCACTGAACAGAACTTCTATTTCGGTCCGCGTTACCGAGCAAACATTCAAACGATGATTTCGTATTATGCACGTGAGACAGCATATTTTACATGTTCAGACGCGTTCAGACTTAATTGTCTCACTGTTTCCTTAATTAGAGCCGTTTCTTTATCGATCGCGCCATCTGTGTTTACACAATAGTCGGTCAAGCGCGCGAGCGGGTCGACGAATGTTTGAATTGTTTCGAAATTTTTTTTGGAACGCGAGAAGAACGGTCGACGTCGATCTCCGTGAACTTCGTCCGAAAAATCTAGCCGGGTCCATATCGGTGACCCCGGTGTCGCGATTTTATCAGCGTAATTAATAGCGTTTACTATTTGCATGAACGGGCACGATTATGGACAAAGTTTCGATGGACTGGCGTCTGTCATAGTCATGGCCGAGACGTTGATAACGATATCAGCGGCTTAGTAACCATATTGCTGACCAGTTAATTCTATATAAAGAAACTCCTCGAGTTTCGACCGTGCATACGCATTTTCAATTCTCCGCCGGTTTGTCCGGAAGGAATTCTGACGCGAAGTAGATCTTTCGAGTAGCCGCGTCCTCCCCCCCCCCCCCCCCCCCCCCCCCCC